ATGTAAAGCTAACGTGCCCATCTTCTGACCAGGAGAAAGGAAGTAGTGTCTAAAGAGTCTGCCACCTGTGTACACGGTGATGTTTGGACCATGCCATGAATTTTTAAAATGTCATACCTTCATGACTTGTATCTCTGAATAGTTACTATGCTCAGAGACAGAATAATTAGAAATGTGAGTTGTCTAGCATAGTACTTATACACCCCAAACACAAAAACTGGTTGATAATAGCATTCCAATAGAGCTTTAGCCACTGGGAATCAACTCCTTATCCATAACTATTTAGGATAAATCCTGAGGCTATTACAGTGTACTCTTGGTTTATAATAACCTACATTTTCCAGATCACCAAGAACACAAAGGCAAGGAGCTGTAGTTAAGAGCTTTGCTATAACAAAGAACATCTAAAAAGGAATGTAGTGACATTTTGGGGTGTTAATGTTTGTGTGTGTTTCACATAAAGGGAGTCAAGCAGGACATGGTGTGAACCCCAGTTCACCACTTATCAGTTAGGTGTGACTTTGAGTAAGTAACCTAAGTGCTAAAGCCTCAGTTAATTCATTTATAAAATAAGTAAAATAATCACTCCCACCTACAGGATAAAAATTAAATGAATACATGTCAAGCACTTACCATTTACTTTTAATGGAACAAAGTAAGCATTCAATAAATGTTAGCCATTGTTATTATGTATTATCCCTCAAGAGGACTCAGTTCAATTCATTTCCAAAAACTATATGTACATAGCTGACCTTATTTGATGACAGATTGCCCAATACTTTACTGAGTGTTTAGATGGCAAACTGTCATTGGCCAGCCAGGAAAAGGTATGCAAATTAGAAATAATTGTCCCAACTCTAGCTCTTGGAATGTCATCCTTTGCTCAATGCATGAGCCAGACTTTATAGCATTAATTCCAGATTAAATATGATGTTTGCAATGTAGAAGTTCAAATATCTAGGAAATTTAAGGAGTAAAGACAAAAATAAAATAATTGTACTATTTTGAAACTCAGATAATTCATTCAGTAGCAACATTCGTTCATTAAATATATGTAGTGACTGCCTACAATGTACAAAGCACTGTTCTAGACATTGAAAATAAAAGAATTAAAAGAACTGCAACTGCATCTTCAAAGAATTCTCAGATGAATGAGAGGAGAGATACAAGAAACAAACAGCTGTAATGCAGTGTAGTCAGTGGTAACAACGTAGCCCCAAGAGAGACCAATCCAGTTGTGAGAGCCTATAAGACTGTCATCTGAAGTAGGTAATATCACTATATGAATTATAACTAAGGTACAACTCAAAACACCATTTTATCCACCATTGTTTTATTTTCAGAGGCAGAACTTTGCAGAGTTCATTCAACAACAGTCGTGACACAATGCACACTGGCACAAATGAGAAAATGATCAGTTCAGTTTCAGTGGCTCAGGGAAAGCTATGGAGGAAATGACCCTTGACGTAAGGACATGATTGGACCGAGTCAGGGTGTGCGAATGGTGATGAGAGAGAGAGAGATCCTCTAGTATAGAACTGTTCATGTAAAGATGTGGTGGTATGAAACAATCTGATATATATGAAGACACAATAGTATTTTAATATGGTTACAATAAGAGGTAGGAAATGAGTGCTCAGACATGGCTGGACAAGTTGATCAAATTAGGACAGGAAGGACTGCAAATGAGTTTGAGCTTTATCCTTCTGATTTTGCAGAGCCCTTGAAGTATTTTAAGAAGGGAGTATATAAACAAATTTAGGTTCTGTAAGATATTTTTAGGTAATGTGGAGGGCTAAACTCAGGTGTCAGACTTACAAGAAGATGATTGCACAAAAGGAATAGCAGAGATGAAAGAGTTGAAAGATAATTAGGAGAAGAATCAGTGACCAAATCTGGAGAGACTGGAAATAAATTGTAGGAATCTAGATAAATCTCAATGTTTAGTTTGGGTGACACTAACCAGGATAGAACATGAGAGAAGGAATAGCACTTTTAGTTTTGGGGAGAAGGTGGAGATTGAAAGAAGAGAAATGTATTTAACTTAAGACATACTCAGTTGAATGCAATGTTCAGTACCTAGTTAGATATAAAGTCTAGAATGGAGATATGATTTGAAAGTTATCAGAACTGAGATGGTAATTTCATCCATGAGAGTAAATTAAATTTTTCAGAAAG